TAGTGCAGTGAAATCGGAGTAGATCACAAAATCAGTGTTGGTGACAATGTCTTCCCATCACCAGCCTGCCACGGCCCGATCTATTTTTGATCCGTAGACGATCTAATGGTATGTTCAGAAAAGAAATGCTTGTTTCAAATTCTGGAGTGAAAAACGATAAATGGAAGCAAAGGTAAAGGTGTGAGAAGAATAATCAAAGTGTTGCAAAACAATCCTTGACCTTTAAAAATTTTTAGATCGTGATAATACATTCTTTCCAACGATCTGCCCCCGAAATCACCCGTATGCTGGAATGTCGCAATGAATAAATCAGCTGTTCACAACTCAGCTGACATCTTTCACATTCCTCCGAAAGCATGAGGAGTCATCGCTTATTTTGAAAATCCGATGGCCGACCTCGTCTGGAAATTGAAGAAGGAGCGTCATCTTGATTTTCCGTAGTCGTCCGTATGTATTCGTTCCACCAGCGGATAACCTCCCCCCAGCCCCGAGTGTTGCTTGGTGCTGTGGAACATTCTTTCGACGGACGGTTTTCCTTCAGCTGCAATGCTTCAATAAAAGTAACTGCTTTAACCTGTTAGAAGACAGATAATCTCTTCACCTAGTGAGGTCAGGATGATCGATGGGACCAATGCAGGTCGTACAGTGAGTAATTCAAGTAACTATCGAGATTTCTCTTAGACAACTTGAAGTCGAGTAGGGCTGAAAAACACGAAGAACTTATCATTGAAAACAAGCTACGCAAGGTCATCCTCACACAATAATCCCTCCATCCCGCCACAGTGCGTTCATACTTTGTGGCAGCGTTTTGGACGTCTGCCTTTTGAGCGTTTCGAGCGCCTAAGGATGTATAGTTGTCGATTACTGGTGGAGAAGTTATTGGACGCTTAATACGCTAACAAAAAACGCTGTCGCGAAGTATGGACGCCCTCTGAGGTATCGAACATACCTTACGACGATGGAAAATCGGAGAACTGGAGAATCGTGAAATCGGAAAGATCGGGGAATCCGTCGAAAGGTAAGTATACGTAGCGATCTGGACATTCGGCGAATCGGAAAATGCCGACGAAAAGATTTGCAGTACGCGTCTAATAGATCCAACAGGCTGCAACACGCCGATGATTCATCTACTATTCTCCGATTGTCCACTTCTGAGCCATTCGATACGTGCCGTCTTTTCGAGCGATAAGGAAGCGTTCATATCTCACGACTCCGCGAAACACACATAAGGGTGTGCACGAAAACAGCGTTCAGACTTCGCAGTCGTGCGACCGCTCCACCGCCAAGCACTGCGCCGCCGCAACAGTGAATTTAAAAATTGGGTCGCGTTCACGATGCTCTTCTACTCCTTTGGCTCGCATTCGGCCCTACTTTCTCAGCTCGCTAGTGACCGGAATCGACCTATTGCTATTCAGTCCTTGACGCGGGTTCGATCCCTCTGATCCACTATTTCTGAAGAAGTCGCGAAGTCTAAACGCGGCCTAACGTATATGCGACATGAAGGACTATGTACTCTTGATAATGTACATGCTGACCGTGTACCTGTACTGCTTACCATGGGTAAAGTGGCTCACAAAGGAAAATCTGGAAGACAGCCCACGATTGCCTTTCGCAGGTTGTTTGGTTCCGAGTCATTGTATTATGTGATAAGCGGAACACTAATGAAGAAAAAACCAAAGAAAATGTCGAAAACACCTTGGAGACAGTCTCTGCGCTCAACCACTTCATAGGCACCCTTCGTTGTTCAATTACATCGGTCGTTCTCTCAGATTATACACTTTTACGGCTCCACAGTGTGCAACGAAGGCGCAGTGACCCGCTGTGGCAGTCCTGACGCCTCCCTGGTTGCCCCACCCTCAAAGAGTATTTTCCGTCCGAGTTCAATTTTGCAGTGTTCCTCGTTTTTTTTTCTCCACTGTTGGTTGGTCTTAGTACTGGATGATGTGAAGAAACGACTGGTGATCCAGAAGCGGAAGGAAATCTCTCTTCTGGCAGGCAGATCGTTGAAGTCGTCTAGAAAGAAAGGCTGCCAGGTCACTACATAAGTTGTTCTCCATGATTTTTTGTTTCTCCCAATTTAGCGAGTATATTGAACGCCACCATTCACAATGTGAGTCGCGGAGTTTGTCTTCAAGAAATATGATTGTTACGAGCATAACATGAGCATACAAAGCACCGAGACTGAGTGAAGCAAAGAGGAGCAAATGAGCCGTCGTGCTTTTATCCAGCGCTTTCGAATGGCAAAAGTGGAACATCTCTATGCTTGTGGGCTCGTCTTGTACACAAAAGGGCTTTTGCACCTTGGTCAGTTGCGGGCGCTGCCGACAAACCCAGGTTCTAACATTGAAGTTTTGGGGAATAGAAGTGAGAACAGTCGCGGTATGACGATACAATAATGATAATAGAAGGTTTTGCTGTATTGCTATGACAGGCGTTTCTGTTACATATGAGAGAATCGATTACAAATTGACGCTCTCACAAACATCGGGCACTCGCGTCGGATGAACTTGGGTTGCGAAAGTGAGCAATCCGAAAATCCCTCCTTCACACGCCTATTTGCCGCAATTTCACCGTGAGCGCTCAGAAGCCTAAGCATGCGACTAGTCGCGAAAGTGAAAACATGCACTAAAGCTGCTCAAACATCACAACGTCCTGTTCAGTGCGGATGAAAGGGCGTGTCGGGCGCGGTTTGACGCGACGCCATATTCGTTCTTCACCAGTTGCTGATGTGCGTAAGCAGCAACAATTGTCGGAGAACGAAAGATGAGACAGTCTTGTCGTGTGCATGCTCCAAAAACTGGGGAAAGCGGGTTTGGCGTCACGACAAACCTATCCCAGGGCGGGTATGTGACGGCAAAACCAAGCGGCGTCGCGCGCGACAACTGCAAATACCGTACGGTTGAACTACCGCGCGCTCGCGATGGTTTATTGTCGCAACAGTGACATTTCGCTGTTACTGTTTCAGCACGAAAGAAGGAATCAGCCGGTTAGCTAAATTGACTCGCGAGCAAAATCTGTGGAGGTTCCTCTGACCATAACTGCTTTGTAATCACTCTTATGCAAATGGTACAATATCTATCAGTCATGACAATCCAAGTACTACCAGAGTGAAAACTGTGGCGAAATAAAGTGAACACAATCTAAATTAATAACGCAATAATTTCTCGCGAGCGTGCGCTCCATTGCAAGGGAGACGGGCAAGAGGATCGTAAATTGCCGCTCCGCCGCGCGCGGCGATGGGCGCGGCGTTTTCTTAACTCGTGTTAACCTGTCGAATGGAGCACCGGACTTCATGTAGACCCCGTCATCATAAACATTCATGACTATTTTCGCTTATAAGTTGCCTGTTGTCGCCATCTACGACGAGGAACATCGTCATCTGTGGGCGCGACGTCGCACGCGACGCATACCAGCGCGGCGAATTACGATCTCTTCTCACATAGCCGTCATCCGCAGCGAACCAGACTGTATGGCTGAGGATATATTTCTAGAATTCGAACGATTTTGATGGTTCTTCATCTTGTACTAACTAGCTCAGCAAAGATACGATTAATATAACACAATTCATGTACAAAATATGGTAGGATTCTCTTCAAAAATTACCACACGCATTCACTTGCCATAATCTGACATACCCTTTCTACAAGCAAAACTGAGATCTTGCCGACAAACGTAACCGCCGCTCCACCGCTCACTGGAACTCCGTCAAAATGATCCTGTCCCTTCCTCGAATGCCATGATTTTATCAAGTAGTCAAGAAGAAATATAATCCCCAATAGACGCTATCAATAAGAACAGTCAGTTCACAACACTCAAACACACTGTTCTGGAAGCTGTTTCGAGCAGTGTTGTGACGGTTTTAGAGGTGCAGTACCTCGTACTATTGTGATAAGCTCGATCTCGATAAGCTGGAATTTTCGAATTTGGATGTGGATTGACGGGGACAACAAGCAACATTTAGAGCCCAAGTTTCCTTTTTCGAAGTAGCTCCAACTCCGTCTTAGTCATCGCTCGTGCGCAAAAAACCATTAGTGTCAACTTGGTACCGAACGATTGCAGATTAACCGACATATAAGCCATTAGAACACCGCCAGATCTTGCAGTCTTCATACGAAAACTCAGGTCTCTGGACATCTGTTGTTAACCACGAATCCTGCTTACTCCTTTCTTTTCTTCATCCTTCCTTCTTTTCCGCCCTTCCTTCTCTCTTCCCTATTTCCCCTCCCTTCAAATGCTCAGCCAGAACGATGATAAAACACCTCTGAACACTCGCAGCAAGGAATTATACGGTTGACAGAAACCCGCAACCATAAACCCATCGACTCAGTCGCCGCCTTAAGCTCAGCCTAATAGCAATCCTCTCAGCAGTTTATCCCGTCAAATGAGTAACACTCCATTGCAATCACCAAAACTCATAAGCTAAACAAGTCAGTGATACAGCTCTTAGCAGAAGAACACTTGAAGTTATCGATTCTACCCACATATGTCCCGTGTTTTCGAGCAACAACACCAACATTTCGAATCGATGCGTCCTACTTTGTACGTGGAATCTCGTAAAACTGTCGTCACATGTACGCAAAATTACGTAGTCGATAATTACGCTATGCAGCTCTTGCCGTATTTGCTCCTCCCCGTCAATATGCAGTTCTGCGCCAGATTGCGTTCGATAGTTCATTTGCTTCCATGTTAAATTCCATTAAGTAACAACTAAACTACACAATGAATTGCATTGCTGTAGTTTAGTGGCTTGTTGTGTTCCAAATCAAACCAGAGCTTATGGATGTTGTGTTGATGAAGTGTGCAATTCTCTTCGATTAGTCGTTTGCAGACCTTAGTCGTGGAACTCCTGCTCGATCTTGGCTTTTGCTGATCCTTACTCTTTAGATAAACATGGATGAGAATCGCTGAAGTGGGCCGGATTCCCGGATACTCTGACGAGTGGTCGCCGCTCTCGAGTTTTCCAAAAGTTTTATTTAGTTAGACTTTGAGGTGCTGAAAATATGGTGAAGGTGAGTATATTGAGCTACCCTTCTCTATTTACGGCTATTATAGTCAAAGGAAACTATTTCAATCGCGAGGAGCGGACCATCGGTAGCGTTTTTGGGTGCGGGGGGGGGGATTCGCACCTTCTGGTCATCTCGCACTCTTCAAGAACTATAGTTTCAAACCTTAAGTCAGTCTTCAGATCATTTCTTCTTGTAGAGAAACTCAGCGGTTTATCATTCTTTCAATACTTGCGATTGCTTTCAACTTGCTTAGCAACGTGAGGTGTTAATATTCAGAGCGAAAAATGTGCAAAATTTGCTGAAGGTTCAGTATTTTTTCCAGCACTGTGTTTCGCTTCCACATTTCTCTTGCCCACGGTTTCACACTCCTGAAAATTATTGAATTATATACATCGCTCACTTGGTTTGTCATGCTGTCAACATACCCTTCCATCCTTCCCCGAAATCTCCGTCTGTGGAAGGATGAAAGATTTTCCTGCTAGAACGACAGTCAAGTTAGTGGTGCAAATAATACAGTGATTCTTCAGAAGTGATGTGGCGTAGTGGGAGAGACCGATCGCTAGTGATCTTCAGAAGTGATGTGGCATAGTGGGAGAGACCGATCGCTAGTATATTTGGAATGTACCAGGATTTTGATCTATTAGGATTATTAAATCCGTCTTGATTGTCATTATGCTGCTTCCACCGCTATGTAAAGGACTCAGTACGTTAGAAACACTACATCAGTTGGTACCTGAAGTGAGTAGCGCGCACGCCACGTAGCATATGTTAGAAAAGAGGTGCGCGGGTGTTTATCCTTCAGAAAGCAGTATGAAAATACATGAGAAACCACTGCTGAAGTCGAGTTAAAACCACGAGAAACTATTATCGCAACAACTCTCGAACATATGAGGTTAATGGTCGATTTCGTCCTTAGTAATAAGCGCTTCAGTGTGTTACTAGTGTTCCAGGATGATATTTTGAGGTGTTTTGAATTATGTCGAAATAGATATCTGAAAAGTTTTTATGGTTAAGAAAGATCGAGCTGCCGAAATGGAATCACAAGACGTCGATGATATTGTTGCGCAAACATCTCGAGTTTTGGAGGAGTTATTCAAGGCGTATTCACGCCACTCCGAATTCATTCCATCAGTACTTTGGTGTCTTCGAGTCTTGCTTACGGACGAGTCGTTCGAAGAAGGTTGGATACTGTTTTCCTTACGTGGTGCCGTCTGCTCACCAGTGGCGAGAGCGAGAGTGGACTGTCCAACTCAGCAGTGCTAAAATGCTCACTTCATAGAGTGCCAACAAGTGGTCAAGTCCAGCGTCGATCGATTGGCCGAATTCTACTCAACGAAGCCTTTGTGGACACAGTATATGGTAATCAATGAGGTGGGAGGTCTATTTTTTCTTCAAAATCAGTGATATTTCAATCTAACATGTGTTTTTCTGGGTTTCTTTTTCA